GCTTTCGTGGACTACAGCCCACTTCTTCGGATGCATCGTGACTGTAGTCCACGAAAGCTTATGCTCTAATAAATTTGTTAGTCTCTAAGGTGCCACAAGTACTCCTGTTCTTTTTGTGGATACAGACTAACACGGCTGCTACTCTGAAACCTATACTAAGGTTAACATTTTCTCCTTAACTATAGGAGGAAGGATGAAGATTACATTCAGGGTAATTTTTTTTGAAGAATTATCTGCCTTAGAATGGGATTTATACATCAAAAACAGTCTCCAAAGAACCATCTGCATCTAATCCTGAGTTCTGAGCTGGGGTACAAAACAAGAACTTCCTAGGATACCAAAATCTGTATGTTAAAATATGTGGTGGTTACAGTCATGTTCAGGTAGGCACCAAAATATATAAATGGAATTTTCAACTACAGATATTGTTTTTACAGAGTCCTTGTGCAGACAAAACTTCTTTGCTAGTTTAAGGAATAAATAAGGAGTTCAAGATTTGCTGCAGAAATTGGGCATCTCATGATAGTAACTGATAGTCAATAACTTTTTTCCCATTGACTTAGTTGATACTTATTAAAACAATCCTTGAAATTTTGCACTTTGTCATATCTCAGGGGGGAAAATCCTACCCAGTTTTGTGAGTAAGAAATAGGAAAAACTGTTTTCCTTGCTATAGACTAGTTAGGCAGATAAATAGAAAAATGATTCACAAACAATTTGGGTGCTTCAACCATACTCACCACCCTTTTTATTTGCTTTTTCTGAACATTTATGCAAACAGTTTTATTTGTAAGATTCTTGAAAAGCGAATTTCAGGTTCATGGTCAACATTAATTTAGCCTGTAAGCCTCTGATCCCGCAATTGGATCTGCACCAATCAGGACCTAAATTAAATTGCTTTTGGGTGGAAGCAGTAGAAGTCCAGTGGGGCCAGGATTTCAGCACTAATGAAGGCATCTCCTATGCTGTAGAAGGTGAGTATGTAGAGTTACATGAACTTTAGCATGCCTTTCTATGTGGACTTCTGATATTGGTTGAAAAGGAGAACTTTCATTACAATGTACAGCAGACAATTGGCTCAATGATACCTCTCTGTGTAGACATGTTCATGTTTTGAAGTCAACCAGTTTTCAGCACACTTATGCAGCTGCTGTACTATAATGGTTGGGCCTGGAGCTATGAACAAATGTTCAAGCTGGCATCTTTAAAAGCTAACTACTAACTCAAGATTTATTCTTGTATGGTTATCCAGTAAGGCTTGTGGCATTGCCTGTAGTATTGATGCTATACCAATATGTCTATATTTCTCCTTACAAGGAATTACAGATAGATTAAAAAAAAATCTGTTTCTGCTATAGTTGTCTCATTCATGGTTTTCTGACGTGCCTAGTTGTAGTGAAGAAAGCCTTTTTTAGAGAAAGGCTTCCTTTTTTTAGGGGGAAAAAATCATTACTAGGTATGATTGCTAGAAAGATGTGTGAATAGACCCAGATCGACTACATCTTCTCCTTCCATGAGTGTTACTATATAAAAACATCCCAAATGGGATGGAACACTTAAACTATCAAGGAAAGGAATTTATATTTAAGGAGGAAAGACTCATGAGAATAATAAAATCTGGCAGTGCTTTAATTTCATTTTTGGCCGTAGGGTGGATCTCACCCTTCCCCAGCCTGTTCTTGAAAATAAGGCAGGTGATGTAAAAAACAAACAAAACAAAACAACCAACCACACCTGGGTAGGGAGTTACTTTTTTTTTTTAGCTATTTAGCCTGGTTGCTGAAAGAACCTAAAATACAATCTCTATAGCAAATCAAACAATTTGCTATAACTCTTCTTTCTCTTTCTCTGTCTCTTTCCCTGTCCCGCTCTCTCTGCTGCCTCCTCCCTTACAAAATGTATTTGGGGTTCGCTGGTCCTGGGATATTTTTGTTCCGTTTTTCTTCTCTATTTTAAAGTGTGATTGCAAACAATATCACTGACCATTTTAGCAAGGAAAGAAAAGCAACTTCTACACTCAAATCATTGAGCTTTTTCTTTAGCTTTACCTACTGTTAACAAATCACTCTAACCCGTGCCTATCATGATCTGATTATGGCAATACAAGTAGAATTCCTTTTAAATTACTAACACGACACTGCCAGTCAAGTAGATTGCTAAAGCGTTATCTTGCCAAGCCAAATTGCCAATGACACTGTTTAGTCTGCAATGGGCATCTGCCTGAGGAGAGCTTCTGAAGCCTCAGGAAAGCCTGTGGTCTAATAAGCAAGCGCAGGACTCCGGGTTCCTGTTCCCAAGTTATTTGTAAAGAGAGGCTGGAGCTCGGCCGGCCCCGCTAGCACGACGAGGGCGTATTCGCGGATTCACGTAGCTCGGGCGCACCAGGCAGCGGCCCATACACGGCCGGGTAAGACACACCCTGAGTCTGGGCGGCCCAGCCCGCTCCGGTGGCGGCCGGGCACTACCGGCCCAGGCCCGCGCTCTGAGGCGGGAGAAGCCCGCACATGCCCCGCCTCCCGCACTGGGGCAGCCCCACCTCCCTGGGCGGATCACCCGTCCCCGTTAGCAGCGAGCAAGGCCTTGCCTCCCACGGGGGCAGCCGCCGGCCGATCCCCTGCTGCCGTAGCTCCCTTCCGCCTCCCCCTACACAACCACCTGGGTTGTTGAACGATAGTGTCGCAAAGTTAAACACGCCGGAGCGCCACTTTACGGTGGCGGCAGCCAATCCTTTGCCTCACTCCGGCTCCCGTTGGGGCAGCCGCCGGCCAATCCCCAGCCGCGATAGCTCCCTCCTCCTACAACAACAACAACAACAACCACCACCCTATGGTCTGTTGAGCGACAGTGTCGTAAAAGCGCCGTACCGGAGCCGGCGCGCAGCTTTACGGCAGCAGCGGCCCGACAAGCTCGGCGGGGTGGGGGGAGGCGGTGCGGAGCCGGCCCGCCGGGGTGTGCACGCGCGCGCTCGCGCGGGGAGCTGGATGCCAGGGGGCGGGGGGAGCCCGGCGCCCTGCACTCTGGTGGGAGCGGAGGCGGGGGCCCCCGGCGCCGGCGCGGAGGCGGGCGGCGCGGCGGCCCCGGCGGGCAGGATGAGCCTGTCGCCCAAGGAGCTCTCCAGCCTGCTGAGCATCGTGTCGGAGGAGGCGGGCGGCAGCACCTTCGAGGGCCTGTCCAGCGCCTTCCACCACTACTTCGGCAAGGCCGAGCACTTCCGCCTGGGCTCGGTGCTGGTGCTGCTGCTGCAGCAGCCCGACCTGCTGCCCAGCCCCCCGCAGCGCCTCACCGCGCTCTACCTGCTCTGGGAGATGTACCGCACCGAGCCGCTGGCCGCCAACCCCTTCGCCGCCATCTTCGCCCACCTGCTCAACCCCGCGCCCGAGCGCGGCGACGAGGCCGAGCGGCCGCCGCTGTCAGGTACCGCCCGGGGCGCGGGGGCTTCCGCTGAGAAACCGGCTCCGCTTCTCGGCGGCCGGCACGGCGCTGCGAGGCCCGGTCCCCGCGGGGTGGGGGCGCCGCTGAGGTGGCTCCTGGGCTGTGGGCGCTCAGCAGAGCTCGGGCCCGAGTCTTTCGGGGGAGACAGGCGGGGGCCTGGAAGGAGGCTCCGCTCGGAGCGATGCTTCGCTTTGTGTCCACTGGGCCGGAGCCTGCCCCAGCCCCCTTCTCTAGGCCCTGTGTGCGGGGGAGGGGGCTGCATTTTTCACATAAGTTTTCAGGAGGTTAAGTTACATCTTTATTCAGCAAAGTCCACTCCTTTTCCTTCAAAAACAACAAGGAGTCTGGTGGCACCTTAAAGACTAACAGATTTATTTGGGCATAAGCTTTCGTGAGTAAAAACCTCACTTCTTCGGATTTATGCCCAAATAAACCTGTTAGTCTTTAAGGTGCCACCAGACTCGTTGTTGTTGTTTTTGTAGATACAGACTAACACGGCTACCCCCTGATCCTTTTCCTTCAGCTCCTCTGGTTCCAGCGCCTGTCCCCTTAGCTCTTCACTCATCTAAATTGCCCTCTAGCAAGCAGCAAAAGAAACCCGGATTATTCTCATGTCAAACACTTCAAAACAAGCTTTTCGGGCCTTTTTTACACATTATAAAACACCACCCACCCTTTTCCTTTGCAGTGTAGTTCAGAAAACCTGGTTAAAAGCACATCTCAACAGCGGTCATGCACTTCTCCATTCAATTGGCAGTGCACATCACTCTGGCTCTCAGTTTTGGGGGCATTAGATTAAAGCCATGAAAACTGAGAAGCTGTGCATACGGATAAATTACCCCTCCAAAATCAGAAGGATTCGGATTAAGGTAACTAATATACATAGCAGATAAACTGAAGAGAGACAGGCATGCTTAACTCTGTTCCCCAACATTGGAGAGATCTTGATTGTTTGAAGCCAGGTAAGAGGCTGTTTGTGCCTGGGGGAATTTGCAAGATGTGAGGTTTTCCTGTTCTCAGTACAAATGAATCCCTGGAATAGGTCCCTCTCTGTGTGATCCAGGGCCAAAAGGGGACCCTCTGCTCCAGATACTTATTTTTATGGGGGGCAAGGGACAGGAAAGCCTCACTTCTTTAATTTAGTGCCCCCCAAACTGGGAATCAGAGTGGTGAGTACTGAGTGATGCATGACCCCTGTTGAGAGGTGTGTTTAAATATTTTGTCTTTGAAATTGCTCTACAAAGGAAAGGGGGGTGGAGGTTGCTGTTTTGTGATTAAAGAAGGCCTGAGTCACTTAAAATAAGCGTTTGACATGAGAATGATCAGGGTTTGCTTTGAAGAACTGGAGGGATTAATATAAGGTGCTGAAACCAGAGGAACTGAAGGAAAGGGAATTTGGAGAGGCAGTGTCATTTGATTAACTTCTAATTTAATCACTCTGTAAAAAACACCTTAAATTCCAGACAAACACTGGAAAGAACAGAAAAGTTCTTTTGTGAAAGATTCAGCGCTCCACACTACTTTCCTGCATTAGAGAGCTGAGGGAGCACCCAGTCAAGCTTTTTAGAAAACAAAACAAGTTCCTTGTATTTTTAATGTAAAAACAAGCAGGGATTTTTGTTTGTTTGTTTTTGCCAAGTAACTTCTTTAGATTGTTGGATTATAGCTTGTTTGCAAACAGCTCATTGTGAGTGTTCAAAACCTGAGCCATTTGTACCCCTTTGTCACATGTAAAATGTTTCATCTCTGATTGGATGTTATTTTTAGCCTCTGATTTCTGGAACAAATACAAATGAATTCTGGATTCTTTCTGAGTTTTAATAGTTTAAAACTTGCTTTTTCAGCAAAACTTTCACTTCATTAATATTTTCTAGACTATTTATTGAAAGCACAGTCAACTTGTTTGAACATTTAAATATTAAAGCAAACTTTTTTTGGGGGGGAGGGAGGGCAATATTCTCCAAGCCCTGTTGGTGACAGTTTAGAATGTGGGGTAAAGGGTGTTGAACTTTACAAGCACTGCTCTAGAGAGTATATAAACTTGCTATATTCCACTAATTTAAATCCAAGTGATTTTCAAATCCGAACTTCCCCTCAGCTGAAAGTAAAATTCTGTGGATTCACACTGATGGCTGTTAGAATGATTATCTTTGATGTGACTACTTGAAATATTGTACTTTGGTATATATTTCAGTAAGAAGTATTTATAACATGCTGCAAAATGAGTCTAAAATATTTATAACTTAATTTGAAAAGTTCAAATTTTAAAGTCTATTAAAGTTACTATAGTGCTTACTAAGATGTATGGATGTGCCAAGTTTAAATTTTATTTACATTGAAAACTAAAATGGCTAAAGTACAAAATTCAGAACTTACAAAGTATTATAAATTCTGCTTTAACAAAAAATGGAGATCTTGTTTAACACTTTTGATAGCTATAAACTTCTAAAAACAGGCAAGTTCTGCTCAGTCTTTAAGGGATACTGTCAGTTTTACATGGCCCAAAATTAAAGATCCATAAAACTTTGTTTATAAACATTCAAGACTAATACAAATGTTTCCATAATTTTAACAAAGTTGTTTTGAAACAAACATTCCCTGCAGTTTATGAAGCCCAAACTCAGCAGCATTAAGAACCTGAAAGAGAAACTGATGTGATTTGTATTTCTTGGCTTTGAAATGAAAATCAAACTATAAATAGTGACAGGTAAACTGGATTCTAAAAGGTTTTCACTTTGAATAATTTGTTAAGTTAATAGCAACTTGTTCACCACAAACTACAATGAATATTAGGGCTGTGACTAGCAATGTGCCTGTTATTTGTTGTTAATTGATCATTGGTCTAAATTAGAAAACAAAACGATGCATCAAGACTGCTTGACATTCAAAACCAAATTTAAAAAGTTGTGTGGGGAAGGGTTGGGAGCTGTTTGCTACTTCTGGCGAATTTTTCTCTTCTGTTCCTTTCCTGATTGCCTGTTTGTATTCAGTGTTCTCTTACAGAAGGGTTCAGCTTTCCTTGTATTTGCCTAGTTTTAATCAAATTGCCTTTCTTTGCTGGAGCACCCAAATGCAAACTATTCCCCAAAGTGTAACAGAGCTTGATATGACTACCTAGGTCTCATAGATGCAATTGCAGTTTAAGAGCTTATGTTTTACTAATATGAATGACCAAATATTGGTAACAGCTGAAGAACTAGGTTTTATTAATTATAATATTAAACTAATTTTAGATGGCTTCCTTGGCCCTTATGGTATGCTGTGACCTAGCCTTCAACCCAAAAATGGAGACATAGGGTTATTGAAGTAAGTCTAAAACTATTTAATAGTTAAAACCAAAGAAACCTTAGGTTTAGTTCATGAGACAGTTTAAGCAAAATTATTCTGTATAGCTCATATTTAAATGCTACATAGGCAGAGGCGTGGATTTAATTTAAAATATTAACACAACTGAATATTCTTTGTGTTGGCCTAATTCATACATTTTAATATTTGTGCCATAGTTTGTTTAGCAGACATCGCTCCTTCATAGTAGAAAGTGCAAAGTATTAATTGCAACTGTATAACAAGTGAGGAAAATTGTTTTTCTCAGGTTTCTTACCTCCCATAACTCCACCAGAAAAATTCTTCCTTTCTCAACTGATGTTGGCTCCTCCTAGAGAACTCTTCAAGAAGACTCCTCGACAGATTGCCTTAATGGATATAGGAAACATGGCCCAGTCAGTAGATATAAGTGGACTTCAGCTAGCACTAGCAGGTAAGAAATAACAAACCATTTTAGGTTTCAGAGTAGCAGCCGTGTTAGTCTGTATCAGCAAAAAGAAGAACAGGAGGACTTGTGGCACCTTAGAGACTAACAAATTTATTAGAGCATAAGCTTTCGTGGACTGCAGCCCACTTCTTCGGATGCATATCCTGACAGCTTTTCCTTGAGATAATAGTGAAAGTGAGATATTTCTTTTTAAGTGTAAAATGAGTTGAGCTATAATTCTAGACTATAGAAACTTTAAGCACAGGGCATTTTTAACTGCCTTATATTTGGCTTAAAAAGCAAGTTTTATACATGGAATTTTCTTCTATGAGGCTGTGAAGACGCTTTTTTACAATATAGGAAAAGGCTTTCCATCTGAAAAATGTCTTTTGTTCTGTTGGCAGTTTTCATGCTTAAATTTTATTCCCTTGTATCTTGTGCAGTATTTCCAATTTCAGAAACACAGGATAACTTACTATCAGGCAGCCATTATGCCGCTTTCTTCAGTTATATCTTTTGGCAAGACCAGGTGTTATAACTGAATTTTTGGTAGTTTTTATAAATCTGAGATGATTTAGGTTTTTGTTACTTCCTAAGTATTGCCTCCAGGTTGGGAAGGTGGCTAATTTGGCTGACTGTATCTAGTAAAAGTGATGCTTTTAGACCATTTGGCAGGAGAAAGAGAGAAAAAGGTGGTGGTTGTGAGCCATCTCTTTTAGTAGGTCACTTTTGGAGCTACTGATTAAAACAGTAGGAAAGATGGATATAGTGAATGGGGGCCAGTTTGGAGCACCAAAAATCCAAGTATGGCCTTATAAGGATTTGATAACCATTGGTTATGATTTCAAAACTGTTTTTTTTTCTCATTGTTTGAGAACTAACTTTTTAATACCTAATCTTGGGGTAATTAGACAAATATTAGTGTGATATTCAACCTATTGCCTGAGTTTTCCTGCCTTAGTCTGGTGTCTCCCTCTTTGAATCTTTCTGAGCATTTTTGTGAATTCTGTATTCTTTGACTTAAACTTTCAAAAATGACTTGACACTTTGGTTGCCCAAATTACAAAGCATTGAAGGGGTCTGATTTTTCACAAGAGCTGTGTACTTGCCCTCTGAAAATCAGGTCCCTTTTGAATGGTGTTAAATTAAGAACCCAAAATTACTACATTTCCTGTTTTTGCTGGAAGTTCCATTCATTTTGGTTTGTCTTGTCTCCAAAATACAAAGCCAGTAGTATTTTTGAAAATGGAACAAATTCATGGATATTGGTTACTTTTAAAAATAAGTAGCTGAATGTGCAATGCTTATTCTATATGTAGTGGATACAACAAAATTATACAGTAAATCACATACATAACTAATTTGACTACATAGAGACCTTAGGCTATCTTTGATCTGACATGTTCATGAGAGACAAAATGTGGCTGAGGTAATATCTTTTATTGAACCAACTTCTGTTAGTGAGAGAGACAAGATTTGTTTCTTGGAATAAATGCCTGCCATTGTCTGTGCCTCATATGAAGGCAACTCCTCTTGTTGCAGTCTTGACACCTACGAATCACCTTTTTGACTGGCTTCTCCATTTATAAAATAGCTTGTTTCAAGTCCATATTTTTCCCAGTAATCGAAGATGTAGAAAAGAAGTTAACTGAGTAGTCCATAAAATATAAAAAGAGTGAAACAAAAATGCTTAAACTTAAACATTATTGAGATCTTTGTTTATATTTGTCCCTCTTTCATGGCTGATCTTGTCCTGTAAGGGTTGTAAATCTTGATGGCTTCTATAAAGGTGTTCTCCTATTCAGAATATTCCTGGATTCATTTTAGGGACAAATTTGTTCTAGAATGTACCTCACAGAATTACTCCTATTCAAAAAAATTTAAAGCATTCTGTCAGGATAACTATCCTGAATGTTAAATTACATATGGGAAAGACAACTAATGTATTCTGTCCTTTAATATCTGATCTTCTCTGCGTAATATCCTAAGTAACACTCAGAATTTAAATGTGAACAATTTGACTTGCAGCTGTAATTGCTTTTTTTAAAGGGCAGAAATACAGTTTCATGAGGGCTTTAGATTTTTTTTGTTTGATCAGTATTAACTTCAACCTGCTGATTTGCAGAATGTTTTTGCAAAATTTGCCCTATTTGCTTCTGTTTCTTTAGTTGTACTTCTGCCTGTTTGGATCATTATCCTGCCAAAAAACGTCATTTTCTGATGCTGGTGGAAAAAGGAAGTTTTCTGGCAAAATACTGCCTTTATTCGATACGGTTAGCCTGACAGAAGACTACGTTGGTTAAGGGTAATTGGCTTGTAGTCAAAGCTGCTTTTTCCAATACATTTCAGCACCTTCCGTTAGGAATCAAAGGAAGCTTCCTGCAATTTACAGAAGAGAAAAAATGTAGCACCACAATAGATCTGCAACAACTGCTTGCCTTTGAATAGCTTTTTTTACTTTAAGTGGCTTGGGTTAAGGTGCTTATGCTCTTCCCATAAACAAATTAATCTTTAGCTCTTTTATTAAGGATTCTGCTTTAAATACAGCTTTTGCTTTCTTTAATCCCAAAGAATCAATCTGGCTTGATCCTGTAACCTTCTGTATGTGGGCAGACTGCAGTGATCACATGAAGCTTCACTGAGTTCATTTGAGGCTCCTTTCAAGCCCAAGAGTCTTCATGTGTGCACTGAATTGCAAGACTGGGGCCTAAACCTGTTGTAGATCTCATAATAATATCTGATGGTATTTTATTCTCTGGGAATACTGGGGTCCAAATCAAACCTATAATTTACTAGCAACTATTGACCAGCTATGACCTTAAGTTGCACACCACAGTGCCACCAAACTGAAATGATATCTACCGTATATACTCATTCGTTAGCCCGTTCATTTATAAGCCGACCCCCCAGGATGGTTAGGTAAAAGTAGCAAAAACTGTATGACCCTTTCATAAGCCAGCCCTATATTTCTGGGGTTGGCAAACTTTGGCTCCCGGCCTGTCAGGGTAAGCTGCTGGTGGGTTGGGACGTTTTGTTTACTTGGAGCATCTGCAGGCACGGAGCCCCTCAGCTCCCAGTGTCCGCGGTTTGCCGTTCCCAGCCAATGGGAGCTGCAGGAAATGGCATGCCACTTCCCACAGCTCCCATTGGCTGGGAATGGCGAACTGCAGCTACAGGGAGCTGAGGGGCTCCGTGCCTGCAGATGCTCCAGGTAAACAAAACGACAATGTATTAGATATTCAATTTAATGATTCCATAGAGCTTAAAATCATCAAATTTTGGTGTAGACATGTTTATAAGCTGACCCCGCCCTTTGATGCGTCATTTTTTTACCAAAAATATTCGGCTTATGAACGAGTATATACAGTACTCATCTTTTAGATGTGACATTTAGCCTGTTGGATTAATTGTAATGTGCAGGAGTTGGTCAAGAATATTCCGAAAAATATTCTTTTTAGGATTGTATACTGGAGTTCTAACCAGTTTATAAACCAGTAGAAGCATTCTGAAACTTGATGAAATTGGATTTTTATTTTTTGCAATCAAGTACCTTTTCTTGGGAAACTGCTAAGAAAGTAATCAAGTATATAATATATATCCTTGAAGGAAAAATATCCTACCAAGTTAATTCAGTGAGTCAATATTCAGATAAAATAGAACAGAAAACCACCAGATACTTTGCAAAAAATAACTTCTGCTTATTCCTTTGCTTTGATGGAAAAGGTACATCCTTGTTCCCTTGCCAGCCATAGGAAATACACCTAGAAAAAAACCTTTGGACTCAGCAGGCTATCATTATCTGTGGAAGAGAGTTCTGTTATCTAACATTGAGTCTGTTTTTGAGAGTGGGTTCAGTTAAAATTTTGAACACTAGATAATTAGGGGACCATATCGAGCATGAAGAACATTTCTACAGAGAAAAGCTAGAGTACTAGCTCACCAGGTTCTAAATAAAGGAGAAAGTATAAATAGCTTCAGTGTAGGTAGAGGCAATATGCAAGCTCAGTTACACAGAAAATGAAGCAGTAGTTTAATTTCAGGATGGTGTCTCTTCAGTGACTGCTGGGCCCAAAACAAGAGCTGTATTAGTTATGGGACCAAGATGTCAAGCTTCAAATTATCAGAGGCTGAATCCATTGAGGAGCATGCTATTTACTCCCTGAATGACTAGATAAGCACATACTTAGACTTCCCCTTGCAGATGGACTCTGTTAGCAATGCTCTAGGGCTGGCATCTGTTAATCAGCTACTGACTTTCATGCAGTAAGGTTGACCTATTTTAAAATGAACTGATCAGGGTGACAGAAGGTAAAGACATCCTTTCTGACAGTGCTACAGAGAGTTGGAGCCTGAAATTTAGGATTAGGAATAAAGGGTCAGCCAGTCCCAGTCCTCAGCTTGTTTGAGCACTCCTATGACAGAAGCCATGTTATGGTTTCTCAGAATGTATCCATAATTTTAAAACTTATTTTCCTTTCTCTATAACCAGCTTTGCAGTAACAAAGAATATCTACTGGATTTAGTAGTATGTAATGTTTCCTATGCTGTATAATTTGGCCTTTTTAGGGGCATTGTCCACCTCTGAACAATTCCTGGTTACAATCATAGTCTAGATAGTGCTAGATGTCCCATGCTGCTGGCTCACTTCCAGCTGCATAAAATTTTAATTTGTATTAGACCCCTAATATGTTTTTTCGATGTAAGCAATTGCTATAGTTGCTACTGGGATGTTGACAACAAATGGGGGAGGGTAGTTAGTCTATGCAACATCACTAAAAACACAGTCCACACTGAAAAACCTTTTACCTCTGATTTAGATTTTCTTATGGCCCCCATTATTGTTGAGTCTGAATGCCTATGTTGGTGTGGGTCTTCACACAACAGTGGGGGAAGCGTTAAGAGGGAGGGAGAAATGTGACTGTAAACGCACAATTGGCAGGGGGACAAGTGTGGCAAGAATAGTGCATGAAAAACTACTTCGAACTCATTTTTTGAAACTGACTAGATCAGGGGTTCTGACACTTTCCACAGACTAGGTCACGTCCTAGAGGAGAGGTTCTCAACCATTTTATTTCTGAAATCCCTTCTCCCCCATGCTATAAAAACTTCAGGGCCCTGCGGGGCGCCAGGGCTCAGGGCTTTGGCCCCATGTAGGGCTATCATGTTTCAGGTTCCCTAAAAGAGGACACTGCCAGAGGGCAGAGGCAGAGGGGGCGCTGGAAGGGGGAGTCTCCTAACTCTCCTGTGCCCCTTCTACTCTGACCTCTACACTCCCTTCCTCTGCTTCCTCGGCACTTGGTGCAGCCTGTCTCTCACCTCCAGCAGCTGCACATAGCTTCCCCCCTGGAAACAGCCTCAGCCCGTCCTCTTTCTGCCCTTCCCACCAGCTCACCTGCTGTGAAATGCAGCCCCAACTGGAGCTGCTCCTTGGAGAAGGGGTTCAGGATCTGCAGTGTGAGGCTGACATGCTGCATTATGAAGCTGTTTGGTCCCTCACAGCTGCCAGATCCTGCCCAATCAGCTGGAAGGGAAGGAACCAGTGAGGTGCAGAGACAGCTCTTTCCGAGCTACCTGTGCTCTGCAAAAGCCCGGATATAGCCTCTGATTTGAAAAACCTGCTCGGACAGACAGTGGAGAATCAAAAGAGGCTATGTCCGGGGAAAACCTGGACATGTGGTAATCCTAGGATGCCGGGGCTCCTGCCTCGCAGGGCATGGCCTCCTAAAACCAGCTCTTGGCCCCGCAGGGGACTGTGGACCCACTTGAGAACCATTGTCCTAGAGGATTCTCACAGATAGCTTAGGTTCTCTCCCATTCACAGTCAATCACTGCATTGCTGCCATTTGCAATTATGTAAACCCTTGTGACAGTTACAACAATTGCTGTTTAAATGGAAAAGTAATACTGGGAAAGTGTTAGTATTTTTAGCTATATAATGCAGTTTTAGGAAGTGGAAAGGAGGAGAGCCAACACCATGTGACTGACCAATCAACTCTTTGCACACCACCAGCATGTGCTCCATGGCCCACCGTTTACAAACCTGAACTAGATTTCATGTTGACACTGTCTCTTTAAACCAATGCTGTTCTAAAGCTCAGATTGTTTCCTGCTACTTTTAATATTCCTGACATCTGTATTTTGGTTGTATGCTTTAATATCGTGGCCTGAACTTTTTTTCAGAGCGTCAGTCTGAGTTGCCAACACAGAGCAAAGCTAGCTTCCCCAGCATTCTCAGCGATCCTGACCCAGATTCCTCAAATTCTGGTTTTGACAGCTCTGTTGCCTCACAGATCACTGAAGCTTTAGTGAGTGGACCAAAACCACCTATAGAAAGTATGTGCATCTTTGTTTACTCTTAAATTTCTGTAATCTTTGGCACAATTACTTAAGGATTGACATAAGTGATGTGTTGAGCTACTTTTCTCTAGATTGAATTGTATGTGACCAAGCTCATACGTCATAGTACAAAACTCCAAAAATTAATCTGACTTTACATTGAAAAGTATTACAGTTGTGGGAGGGAGAGAGGACCACTCATCAGACTGCTATTGTCACCCTTATATTAAATATACAATATAGTAGCCTTCTAAATTTAAAATGATTTTTCATTGAGTAATACAAAAAGTACTTCACCTCTTCAATTTTCCTTTGAAAGAAATCTTTACAACATTGTCTTTCAGGTCACTTTCGACCAGAGTTTATCCGGCCACCACCTCCACTCCATATTTGTGAGGATGAGCTGGCTTGGCTAAACCCAATAGAGCCAGATCATGCAATTCAGTGGGATAAGTCAATGTGTGTTAAAAACAGCACCGGAGTGGAGATCAAACGCATCATGGCTAAGGCTTTCAAAAGTCCTTTGTCATCTCCACAGCAAACACAGGTGGGTCCTATGTGCCAGCTGCCCTCCCTTCTAATCTTTCCTATGCATGTTTATATTTCATACATTTTAGAAAACTAGGGTCAAATTAAATGACTTAAATAATTTTCATCTCATTATATTTAGGGTTGGTAGAATTCAATTTTTTAAATAATTTCAGTGGATAATATCAATATTTACTTAAGCATTTTTTAAACGTTTATCAATTTATAATTTCCTGTATTTGTGAACATTTGGGGTCAGGGGTGAAACAGTAATTATTTAATGACAGTAAATATTGAGATTCAAAAAGTTAAAGCTTCATAGCCATTAAAACACAAATTGTCAACATCACATGTCAAAATATACAAAGTAAATATCCTTAAATCAAACTCTTAAGTTTTCAAGCAGCATTGTTCTTACTTGGCCTATCTGTACATTTCAGTTATCGTTGATGGAAATATTTTGCATCGGTGTATATATGGTGAAATCAACATATACAGATACAAAATTCTAATCCTTCCAAGCCTAATTATATTACATAAAATTAAAATAGTCACATAGCAGACCCAGTGAAGCAGGATGATGGGACTCAAAACAAACAGTAGCCTGAGGTGCTAAGATGGAAGTGCCACTAAAAGATTTAAACTCTCTAAACTCCTGTGTAGAGCACTAATCTGTCTGTGGGCACTCCAGAAGTTTGAAGATTTGTCCTGCCAAGGAGTGGACTTGCTTAAAACTGTCTCCAAATTTAGGAAATCTCAATATTGTTTGAGTTGTCTTGTCTCAATACCAAAATTCCAGAGTCTTGGCTTGTGTATGGTCAGATAAGGAAAGTATTTTTTAAAACTTGTCTATCTGCTGTTTCTACACACACTTCATTAGCTGAACAAATGCAAAATGTGACTAGTAACTAGCAACAGTATTTCCCTGCTAGGATAACCTTGTTGTAATAATGCTGTTTCAGGTTTGGCAGAGGCTTTTAATAAGATGGTTATTTAGAAATGCTAAGAGCCTGATCTTGTCTGGCTGAAGTTAGTGTTACTACTGACTTCAATGGGCCTTAGTCTTATCATTGTACTGTATAAGAAGGGAGATGTTCTAGTACAACTATCTCTTTCTGTCTAGGATAACTTATCAAAGTTGTTGGTCAGCTCAGTTCAACAGTGCATTTGCCAGTTCAATGAAAGAGCTAGAGCAAGAGAAAGAAATGAAACTTGGATTATGTGGTTTTAAATTTTTCCACAACATACAAGGCTACTAAGTGCCATGAGCTTCAAAACCCTAGCTTCTTTTAAAGGCTTTTCTGTGCACACTTCCCCTTGATCAGAAACTGAAATATTAGAAGAAAACAAAATATGTATAAGAAGAAATACTTAAATCCAAGTGGCTAGAATTCTCCTTTTGTGTAATTTAGATGGATTATTGCTTTTGTTTTGCAGGCTACAACATTTTTGTAAAAAATGCATAACTTGTTGATGATTGTAGGAAACTTTGAGTGGCTGTTAATATCACTGGAATTTCTGCACAAGGCAGAACATCTTTTATTAAACTAAGTGATAATACAATCCAGATTGGGTTTCTAGTTCACCTGCTCTTGTTGTGATCAAACATGTACAGTTTAATTCAAATTTAATATGCTGATTTTTTTTTTTATAGCTTCTTGGAGAATTAGAAAAGGACCCCAAGCTTGTTTACCACATTGGCCTCACTCCTGCCAAACTGCCTGACCTGGTGGAAAATAATCCTCTAGTTGCTATAGAAATGTTGCTTAAACTAATGCAGTCCAGTCAGATAACAGAGTATTTTTCTGTCCTGGTCAACATGGACATGTCTTTACATTCAATGGAAGTTGTAAATCGGTAAGTGTTTCTTGTCATCTTAAATCTAAACTTATCTTTGTGAGTTCTTGCACTGGAGTGCTCTGATCAGTGTTTTTATAAAAAAAAATGAAAGCAGAATGTTTCACAGGGAGTACCTGATGAGTTTTACTGATCTTGGCTTTATGCGTAGTGGTATAGTCAGATTTGAAAAGTAGCTTGTTCCACTATGCCCCTAAAGGCTACCAAAGTTGGCAGGAGTTAAGGAAATAGCTGTCAAATTTCATTGAAATAGGTTTTGGCCTGAAAAAGATGGTCCTTGTGCACAAATAAGACACATTAAAACAAGAAAGGGGCAGAGAAGACTCCTTTATGCTCCTTTACCACAGCACATGATCATTGGCTGGAAAAGTGCTGAACTCATCTGACTAAATATACCAATTTATACTATATAAGCAGACTCACTAAAATGCAGTGAAGTAGCTTTGAATTACCTGGTCTCTTGCCAAAAGAACTCTGAACTCTATCACTCAAAACTGCCTGTATGTCAAGTTAGTTTAATCCCTTTTATTGGTTTGTTTATATGAAAGGTGTAATACTGCTAATTAATTCAAACAAATGTAATAAACACTTCTGCATGAAATGCCACTAAAATGAGAGGCACTGTTTTTTTTGGCTCCCAAGGACAGTGTTCTATCGAGGTAGAAGTGTATCTTAAAACAAGGCTGTCTGTAGTATTGGTTTTGCCTGTGTGATATGCGTCTTGTGTCCACCATTTTGTTCTGCAAATGAAATAGGGCAAATCTTGAAATCTTGCTTCTTTTTGAAATTCACATTTATATCCCACCTCTTAATATAAAAGTGTAGTTATATTGGGTTAATGGCAATCTCAGATTCACCTTTGATATTGAAATTGGAGACAGATTTCAATGTCATTTTTCAGGGTGGATTTGATTTAAATCACTAGTCAGGAAGATTCGATTTAATCATAGATTTCTACATAAAAGTGCATTCATGTTGGTTGTTATAACCTTAATACATATTCTTCACAACTCAGAGATAGATGTAGGTTTCATTTTTAGAAGGCACACGCTATACATTTTTTAAGTGATTTATTTTGAAAACCTTTCAGATTAGTTTTACAGCTACATCTGAAAATGAATGATTGTTTGGTTATTTCATTTACCAAAGGTAATTGAAGCAGATATTTATGAAGTTCACCTCCCAATGACGATCTCCAATTCAAGAGGTTAATCATTAATATTTGAAGGATTTTCTTGCCATGCGGTATTAGGAGAACATCACCAAACAGACATTTAAATTGTTTTATTTAACTAAAACAACAACGTTATATATTCTGGATTTTTTTCTTCAACAGCAAACATATAATATTTTAACAAAATAAGCATGAATTTTTATAATTAAGTTAAACATTCAAGTTTTTTAAAATCAGGTTTGTTTTGTTAAAATTGTTTTTAACTAAAATAGTTAAATATTTGTTTAAAAAAGAAAAAATTAAATTGACTGTCAGCCAGGTCAACATGAGAAACTTAAAATATTGGCTTTTGCAGCTAACTCGGTTGTCTTCACCTTCATTTTCCAGTTCATAATCTGGAAAAGAAAAACAAGCTATCCTGCTTTTTCAGGTCCCAATCAGTTTCTCAATTTGGAATGAATTAGTCTAAAGGAAGAAAATATCCTTTCTACAGTGGCAGAAGAAACTACTGCTGTTAAAAGTGAGATTATCACGTCAGCAGTCTCTGAATCCAAGTGCTTAAGTGACTTCCACCAGTTCACTGGTGTGACTTTCTTTAAAACATCATCAGCAAACATATATTTCTTGAATGGTTCTTATTCCCAAACTGGGTCTCTTTTATGACCTGCTGCCATTATAGGTTTTCCCTTCTAGTGAGAGAATGGTATAGTACAGGATCAGCAACCTTTGGCCCACGGCATGTCAGGGAAAGCCCCTGGCGAGCCGGGCTGCTTTGTTTACCTGCCGTGTGCACAGGTTTGGCCGATCACCGCTCCCACTGGCCAGTGGGGGCTGTGGGAAGGGCGTCCAGCACATGTGAAGGGTGAGATTGTCGTTTTTGCCTAGAGTTTATGGAAATACAATCTGGGAGCATTTTAATACCAAAACCACTACTAGCGTGACACTGAGGAAGTACTGCTTCTGCCAGGGTAAACTTACGATCTCGTTTCCTTGTTGCTCATTTTCTCTCTCCTCAAACACCTCGCCCCGTTATCTCTTCTGTTTTGCAGCAGGCAGAATGAACAGGAGCAGCAAGAAACACGCAGTTCTTGTTCATTCAGTCAGCTGGAAAGCAGTGCCACCTGCCATAGAGGGAAAAGCCCTACATCTGGAATCAGTGCAATGATTCTTTAACAGAAGGTTCTGCTAGATCATGTGTTACTTTTAAGAGTCTACTTAGAGATGCTGACAGAAATGGATTTTGATGCCTCTGTATAATGCTACTCTTAGGGATGCCATAAACTTCTAGAGCAAAAGATCCATTGCGTACAATGGGTACAACAGAACTGGGGCATTTCTTTGCTTTTATTTACATTACACACAAACTAGATTAAAAAACATTTAAATTGCAGTCACACTTGCGAGTTGGAAAATGCCAGAATAAAACTTGTCTGTGCAGCTTTAATTCGCCCCCCTTATGCCTGTACATTGATAGTCTTTATTTACATGATCACATACAATTGTTCCACAGGACCCCACCGCCTTCAGTGCACAGGGTGTACTTGCTCTGGGTTTGAATCAGGGTTGTGTAGTGAAGCAGACTATCTAGAAACCTGCCTCCTTTGTTGCCGAACTTGGAAGGTGTGTAGTGAAGAGAAAGGATGACCTCATGGTTAAGGCAGTTGGAGAATTGTATTCTGTCTCTGCCAGAGTTCTTGTGTGATGTTACACAAGTCACTTGAACCAAACACTTCGCATGTGATCACTAATTGTGTGTTCCTCATTTTCAGGGTGCCTGACTTGATTTGCAGAAGTGCTGAGCATTCAGAGCAGGGTTTGAATAGTATGCAGTAAATAAGACTTAAGGCCCAAGGGCCACATAGTGAACAATGAATATAAAACAAAATATTGAGTAGCTGCTCTGCTCACTTAGTGAGCATCATCCATCCTGTGCACTAAATGAACTAGAGGTCTTGTGGAAAAAATACTGTATCATAATGCATACACACAAGGGAGCCAAATTAAGACTGCACAGGCAACCTTAATTCAGGTACTTTCACTACAAAAGTTTTTTCCTGCTGATAATAGGTCATCTTAATTAATTAGCCTCTTAGAGCTGGTATGGCATCTTCTGTGTGTGTGTGTGTGTGTATATATATATATACACACACACACACACACATACACACACTCTTA